ACACACACACACACACACACACACACACACACACACACACACACACAGGAGAAGCACAATGACCCCATGCAGCTGGCTTCGCGTACACACACATGCACGCCGCATAGCCTTCACGGTAGGGAGATCAAAATAAAGGAGAAAGCTGGGGAAGTTAGGGAGCCTTTCTGAGGGGAGTGCGGAAGGGGCCAGAGTCTGACGGTTCTCGGGGTCAGCGGTCAAGCTGCTCCGGACTTCCTGGTGAATCGCAGCACAAGCACAGCGGCCACAGCTGTGCGTCCAGACTAGAGGGCTTTAAAAAAAAAAAAAAAACACTGCTGGCTGATGAGTATAAGCAGCTGAGCTCAGGTTCTCCCAGTACGTTCCATTCTCAGTCCGTCCCGCCGACGCCATACCCACCAACCGGTTGTTTTTCCCCATTCTGAGCGATGTGCCGCATTGAGTCTTGGTAGATTTAATGTTCGTTTGTGGTACCCAGTACGCAAATTGTGATTTTTATTATTAGTTCTATTTGCCACGAACTCGGATCTGGAAAATCATCCCGGGGTTTACAAGTCGAAAAGACCCTTCTATATTCTCACTCACCAGAAGCTGGGTGTCTTATTTTCACGTTGATTCTTCGCGTCTTCTGTTTGTTGTTTTGTCGATTTAAAAGAAAAAGAAGAAAATGATCTCATTTGCAACTGGAAACTAAAAAGAGAAGAAGATTTCCAAGATTTTTCCATCTTACGGGGATTTGGTTGTAAAGATCTACAGCCCACGTGTTAGCATTGCCTGGTATCCAATAGGGTCGCTTTTGCATGTTTTCCTCCCCGTTTCCCCCAAAAAGAGCATTTTGTAGTTGAATGGTTGAATGGTTTTTGTACAAACTGAGCAGATCGAAGACTTCAAAATGAATACATGGCATAGCAGGTTATGTGAGCTTTGAACTAAATGTAAGCATGAGGAAAATGGCGACAGTGCAGCTGGGAACTAAAAAATTCTGATCTTGGGGGGGGTTGAATTGGTTTGATTGACACACTTTTTGTTATTTTAAAAAAAAAGTAGCTTATTAATGTCACTGAAGACCTTTCTTTTTTTCATTCTTTCTTTATCAGCATTATAAGCTCATGTCTTTCCTCACTTCAGGGAAACCTTCAAAGGGCTCGTGAGCCTTTTTTCCAAATGCTAAAGCACCTGACAAACCCAGCGGCGGACTGATATCTTTCACTCTTCATGCGCTGTCAAAAGTCCAAATGATGCGGTTTGAAAAAGTTTGGTTTCCTACCTCATAGGTATCCCAAATATGGATGAAAATCAACAGTGGCCACCATGTTCAGTTTCTTTATTTTAAAAAGCAAAGCATCTGGGCATGGATTTAAGTATTTTTGGCCACAAATGGGTCAGTTTCCTGTGTGAGAGGTTAAAGGTCATCAGCTTCTCTGAAGAAGTGGACACCTCGTGTGTAGTTGATGTAGCTCCATAACGTAATTGGCCAGCTTTCTGCCCTTTTTTCCTGTCCACCCACTGGACAAGAAATAAATAAACCCTTACATTTCTCGAAAGAAAAAAAAAACACTTAAAAATTAGGCAATAAAGGTATATCTTAACCCTTTAACATCTACACTCAACAACAGGATGATATTTCTTTTCAGATTTTTCATTTATAATAACCAGAAACAGTGCTTTTTTCATGGATAGTCGGGGTGATACTTTATAGAAAAAGCATGTCATTTTAAAAATGTACACATCACATACCTGAACTTGATTCAAGAGCTAGTTTAGGTATGCACACTTACTTATTACCCACGGTCAGGTAAAATCTGTGAACAGTATGCTCCAGCAAATAGTCCAGCCAGGTGTTAAAGGGTTAACGCTGACCAGACATGATGTTGTGCTTCATAAGGATAATCTCCTTATGTGGTGCTCAGGCGAAAGGCCAAAAAATGTCAATTAAACCAGGACCTAGAAGATTTTAATCGACTTTTTCTACAAAAGCTTCTACACAGAGCTGTGGGTATGGAACAGGTTGTATACTACAGAGCATTCAGTCTTTTGCTTTTCACTGGGTCCTATCATGCAGGCCTCTGTGCATATGGCCAAAATCCAACGTGCTTTTCAAAGCACGTTGGATTGTGAGCAGTTCCAATTTGTCCCGTGAAGCCTCATTTGTGTTTATCCACCCCTACATTAAAGCTGCTTTGACTCGGTGTGTTGGACATGAAGCCTTTGGGGAACGGAGTTTCTACAGACACACATTAGTGTCTAGGTCTACCTAGAAAGAATGTTAGTGAAATACCTCCATGTAATATATCGGTCACATTAATGAGTTCAGTCTTCGAACTGACCCCTCAGTTTCACCACTATGGGAAGTTTAGATGAAATCGAAATCGTCAAGTCAAGAATCCCACTCTCTCTCCCAACCATTGGCTCAGTTTTTTGCCATGACAATCTACATCACCATTCTCATCGGCACCTCCGTGGTTTTATTGTTGTGTGTTGCCATGACTTTTTGTACACGGGACGGGGAAAAAAAAAAAGAATTAAAAAGCGGTTTGAATGGAGCGAGCAGCTATGGAGATCTGTGAAACCTATCGGTTGATTTCTGCGTGATAGAACTCCAGTTTTATTTCCGTTTGCAGCCCGGCGCTTTATATTTAAGGAAATATAGGTTTCACGGTATCACGGCGGCCATACTCCTCATATACGAAGAAATAAAAACCGAGAATAGTTGTGGTATTTAAATTCTGATCACATAGAGATTCTATATGAATATATATAAATGGATATTTGCAACAAAAAAAAAAAATCAAGAAGTGTATTTATGACATGTGTGTGATCCTGAAAAGTATTTTTCAAAGTAAACAGATCTAATCTGAGTGTTGAATCAGTTTGCTTCTCCATGCTTAAGTGGTCAAAGCTAATGAATCATTGTAGGATACCATGTCGGGATATTTCAAGGAAGTGTTCTTTTTATTATGATGATTATTATTTATATAGTTTTATTTTGTTGTTTTTGTTTTTGGCATACGTGTGTCCAGGTTTGGCAATGTGTATAATACAAGCAGCTCTTGTTCTTCACTTTTATCATATTTTGAATTGTTCTATTTGTTTTCCTTTAAAACATGTGCCTTGCTTTGTGATTTTGGTCTGACTTCAATACAGTAGATGGGTATGTACAAAAATCAGGGGATCCCTCTCTTTTTCCATTCCGTACTGCTTTTAAACTGACCCCGCATTTACTTCACACCTAATATTTTCTATCAGTCTTATTCAAACAACAACAACAAAAAAGGCTACATTTTACCCAGTTTGCAGGATGTTACCATGTTGGTAACTTTTGTTTTTTGTGTTTAAAAAATAGCTTGCAGGCGTGCGCTTGAAGGAGAACGATGACAAAACTGATGCCACAAAGTAAAACTAAAGGCTAATAAACTTCCAGTGTGTTGAAAACTGATTTTCTGGCAGATGCAGGTTGGCAGTTTCCTTTTCCTACCTGTGGACAAAGTTGATAAAAGTGGATATTCAAAAAGCCCCTTGTGCCATTCACCATTTTATCTATATAGTCATTTTCAAACATATTTCATATTTCCTCAAACAACATGTCACTTTATTGTAAGTTTCATGTTTTTAGTATGAATCTGGAACTCAAAGGGTGAGTAAAAAACTGGATCTGGATCCTTGGAGTTTGAACATCAACATTTTTTCTTCTTCCACTTTTGGGTCTTTAAGAACAAAAGGGTAATTAAATGACGCTGTTACACGTATCGGAGAGGTGAAACAGCAGAAATGTGTCAGGCTTTGTAGCTACCTCTTAGCAGCCACGTCAGGATAGCTGCTGCCTGTAGGCTGGTCCATTGGATGTGTGTTTTTACATGCGAAGACATAGATTCACTACATGAAAATGGCTGTTTTTAGCGACCGTTTCCCAGCATTTTGTATCTTAAAGGAAAAAGACCCAGTCATCAGTCCAGGCTTGGTTTTTAGGTTCTTCTAAATGGTTTTAAATAGTTTAGCTAACATCGGGCATGCAAGAATCCTCGTGAGTTAGCTTAACTGACGCCTATAAAATTTGAATTTTGAATAAACTTAGAAATAATACACATAGCCGAAACAAAACCCTACAAAATTACTTTTGGCATAAACCTTGGGGAAACTATTTTTGGTCATGGATAACTTGTGATTGACTATTGGCAAAATAATGACCATTGAATGACAGGAAGTTTTGGAGGCGAGCTTAAAACTAATTAGGCAAACTTTACTTTAGGTCCTGGTTAGATGATGAACATTATTCTCCTTTTAGAATTTCCGGAGAATAGGGTCTTATTGTTATTTGAAAAGAAAATAGATATATAGAAGTTCAGAGTGGAAGCACATCTGGTCAGATTAAAAGAGGAAGCTTCTATACAGTTTTATACTTTTGAAATGTTCTTAAAAAGAAGTCATATATCTTTTCATTAGCAGGAGTTACTGTTCCTGGTGCTAAGGACCTCTGGCATCTTTCTTCTTTGCCACAGAGTTGAAGAGGCATCGCGCCAATCGTGCTCTCTGATCCCGTTCATAACTTCTAACAATTAAACAGATAGCTGGCTATATTTTGATCACGTAGTATACGTGATACATATGACTAACAAGGCTTCAGTTTTGTCAAAGTCACTCCTCCAGTTTAACATTTTGGCTGTTTTTGCCAAATTAGCAACTTATTAGCAACATTAGCAATCCAATTAGCAGGAAGTTTGGCACTGCTTCAATAAACTGCTGCTGGAGGCAGCTTGATATTTGGTGTGTGTCTGGGAAGAATAGATTAAACTGAAAAACGTGACAGAGAAAAATTCAATATTTGAATATTTTATCAATAGGGCCTGTGGATTTAAGATCCCCAAGGCCCTTTACGAACTACACCCCCAAAACCTCCATTACAATTATCCAAGCTTTTATTATTTTTTGGTTTATTACTTCATATTAAATCTGTCCTCAGTGTCCCAATTAACTCCCCAGACTGTGTGGAGCTTACACCAAGATCTTTTTTTCTTTTCACATCTCAAGTCTGTCATATTTTGAAGTGTTTTGGTGGACGGGTTCTCGTCTGAGGAGACACAGGTGGAATAGACGAATAAGTCGAGTGTGTCGGGAAGCAAATGTCTCGACCATCTCTTCTTTTCACGGCAAAAGATAAAGACATAAAGCCTTGTATTTTCCATTTGATTCTTCCTCTCATCCGAACAGACACTGACCGGTGTGTCCACTGCAGCTCGGACGTGCTCGAGAGAGTCCAAGTGTGTTACGTGTCGCTCTGCTATTGAATGTGTAAAATATTAGTGTGTGTGTGTGTGTGTGTGTGTGAGAAAGAGAAAGAGAGAAAGTGTGTGAGCGTGTTGCAGTGACCTGACAGTGGTGCTTGCAGTGACAGCATCTTATGGCCATCTATTCTCAATAAATAAATAAATGTTTGACTCAAACTCTTGTTTTCAGTGTGTGACAAATGACATAAAGAAATACGATAATGTCTGAAAACAACCACCGGATATTTTCCGACATTACAATGACTGAGAAAAGTAAAAATCATTGTTTTAGATTAATTGATCATTGCTAAAATCTTAATTTCATGGTCAGAAAATAAAGCAACTAGCAGCTCCAAAGCTTAAGGAATATCACACAAAATTTCAGTTTTACACACTCAAAAGATCATGATGTGTATTATAAGAAGAGAAAGCTCTTAAGTAGTAGATTATAAAGATTAGGGAAGATAAATAAACCCGAACGTGTCAGTGTACAAGCCATGCTAGTTAATATAAAATCCTCATGTCTATGAGATCATTGTTGCAGAGGTCTGAATGAAATGTCAACTTTTTAGAGAACTTTCATTATTACTAAGATACTATTAAAAAGAAAATAAAAGACATGCCATACAATAACTAAAATAGTTCGTTTCCATGTTGTAAATCTTACTTTTAAATGATCGTCAATGAACTCAAATGCAGTCCGAATAAAGACAACAACTGAAAAGTAAAGAATGCACAATTTAATTTGAAGTTATATGCAGAAAAACTAGTGTGTGTGTGTCTGCTGTAGGTCTTTATTGTTAGGCTCTCCCCAAAAAAATCTCCAAAATGCTGCAGCCCAAATTCTGCTTGAATGAAGAGATCTCATCACTCCACTTTAATTTCTGTTTATTGAACTGTTGAATTTAGGAAAACATTTAGAATTCTACTCCTCACATCTGAAACACCATCCCATCTTAAAATACATCATAAATGGACATTTTCCCAGCAGAGCACTTTGCTCTCAGACAGCAGGTCTACTTGTGGTTTTTAAGAGTTTCTGACAGTAGAATAGGAAGCATAGACCTCCATTTTTCTAATCTATACCCAGAAAACACGCGCCCTCCTCCCTTTAAGATCAGGCTCATTATGGATGTTCGTTAGGGATGGCCCAGTGACCCTTAAACATCCCATAATCCTACTGGTATAGGCCCAGACCATCAACTCCTTTTACTTTTAGTTACTGTTAGTTAGGCTTCTACTCTTTTACTTTTGTTCAGGGCAGATGGATGCCTTTCCCCAGTGTTGTTCTGCCTGGGCTTTCTACTTATTAAATTTTTTTTTTTTTGGTGTGATCTATTAATTTTTCCAAAGCTGGAAACTTTTTTCTTTAAAACATGCTCAATTGGAGTCATGAAGTGAAATTATTTTGTTTGATTGGTTTAGGCTTTTCTCCAGCTGGCATCAATTGGATTATAACTTTAAAGTCGATGCTATTTGGCACTATCGAACTGAATTTTATTTAAATAAAATGTATCAACAACACACATTAAGGACAAAATGAACTCAGACTGAGATGCATCAGATCAAAGTGTACAACAGTTTTATTGATCAATGATCAACTCAAGCTTACATGATTACAGTTAAACAAGAAATCACCTAAACTGTGACCAGTGAAGACACTTCTCTCCTCTCCTCCGTTCTTCTGCCTTTGTTACCATGGCTACAGACAGAAATGGGGAATGGGGAAAAAAGAAAAAAGAAAATCAAACTGAATAATCACCGGGAAAAGTCGAGCTGATCCAGGTGTGATCGGCGCTCGTCTGCGTTTGAAGCTTTTCCTGTTTCGTATCTTTAACCCAATATGGGTCCTCAAACTTAACGTGGGGAAGCGGGACTGTGTCTGGGGGAGTTTTTGGGGGGTTAATTGCAACACGGACAGCTGTGTTCATCGTGCTCAGAGGTGAGTAAGGAGGGACGCGGAAAAAAAAAAGAAAAAAAAAAGACGAAAATAAACAAAACGGTTTCTTTACATATATGGCACTCACTTAAACACACTCACCTATACACAATAACAGGCACGTGCATGCACGCAGACTTTTTGGGGCGCGTGTCCGGGCTCAGCACCGTTGTTTTTACCTCACGCTGCCGTCCGACAGCCGGGCGGCTCCGAGCGGGCGGGGCCCCCCCAAAGCATGGCACTGATATAAAAACTCTAAATCTATAGATCTATCGGTTCCGGTAAAGGCTTCGACTTGATAAAAGGAGTTCTACGAAGGCTGCTTGCACAGACCTGAACCGGGAGACGACTGCGGTGGACTTGGAGCCGCCGCGGGGGAGTGTTAGCTCGTAAAAAGCCGGTTAGGGGGGGGGGGGGGGGGGGGAAGCTAAATATGTGGAGGGAGTGTGGGGCTGGAGGCTTATCGAGACGTAACGCGTCAGGCGTCGCGATTACAGGAGTGTTTTTGAGGAAAACGGTCACCCCAGGTGAGGGGTGGGGAGGAGGGGGGGGCGGCATCCAGTCGGTCCTGTGAGGTGCAACCGTAAGGCAGCTAGTCTGGTTGTGCCCTGAAACTGTTGATGAGGCCACTGGGGGGTGAAGCGAGTCACAATCGAATGAACGAGAAGGGAAGGCTTCGGGACTTTGGGGGGGGCTTGAAGCTTGAAGTCCGTTTGTTTAGCACGTCCAAACCTGAGAGAGAGAGAGGGAAGTCATCACAGAGGTGTCCATATTTGTGCCGTGGGGTGGGGGCCGGCCGATTGGCTGACCGGTGGGCCCTTACCTTGACGGTGCTGTCCACGGCCCCGGAGAACAGGCGGCCCCTGGACACGGCCAGGGCGGTCACGCTGCCCTGGTGCCTCAGCAGCGTCTGGGTGCAGATCATGTTGTCCATGCTCCACACCTTCATACAAACACACACTAAATCAGCTTTTCTTTTCAAAAACATCTATGTTTGAGCGTTTCCACTCGTTCTTCACGAGGTGTCTGGTGTAGGTCTTTAAAAGGCTGAACACTTCCAGAGTCCCCCGCAGTTTCTGACTGGATCCATATTTTTAATGAGATATATACAATGGACCCAATGTCCTTCTCTATTAGGGATATCCCAATCCAGTTTTTTTCACTTCCGATCCGATACCGATCCCGGCCGATACTGATCCCGGCATATCAGAGCATGTATGAAAGTTTCACGTTATTTATCTACTTACTTAGTTGTCAGACTCATGTTGAACAGGGATTTACTCTTATAACAACTTAATGGTGAGGACACAGACCTGTCGGTTAGCAGATGCTAATGCCCATGTGGGATCAGACTTTAAAAAAATAAATAAACTGGATCGGAAGTCTGGATCGATATGTTCTCCTGTCGGCCGATACGCATTTTTATGCGAATATCGGTGGTCGATCCGATCCAGATATCGGATAGGGACCAGCCTATTCTCTATCCGTCTTAAGTATATTTACCAGCCTTTGGGGACAATGGGTTAGATATGTTAAGTCTGTACGAGCAGATGTTCAGATTTTTTAGATGTGCGGTTTTAGTCTGCTGTTTTGTGTTTTTTGTGCGTATTTGCTTCTTTTTTTCCCCCTTTGTCCCCCCCCCCCCCCGCCCCAAATAATCATATACTGCTACTTATGTACTTTACTTTTTCCCCCACTCTTGGTATGTTTTGTTTATCTTCTTAATCTCCCATATTGTTTCTAGTTCGTATAAATCTTGTTCATATTTAAAAAAACAGAAAAGAAAAAAAGACAGCATTTGACAAGACACATTTCATCTCTTCAAGTTGTGACACTGTTGAGCTGAATGAAAAATAAATGTTAAAAATAAAATAAATAATAAATTAAATAACATCCAGTCGGGTTGTTGGGTTTCTGTATTTAACTTCAGAGTAGGGTCTGACCTGCTCTGTTTGGAAAGCGCTGTGAGACAACTGTTGTTGTGATGTGGCGCTATATAAATAAAATTGAATTGAAATAAATGTAAAAAACAGACAGTGAACTTTGTTCCGTCCTCCAGCATACACACAGACACACACTCTCTGTTCTCACCCTGAGCGAGCGGTCGTAGGAGGCGCTGAACACTTTGGTCTGGTCTGGGGTGGATATGACAGCCAGGGCGTAGACGGTACCCACGTGGCCCGTCAGGGTCCGCACCTGCTCCTTGGACTCGATGTCCCACACCTAGGACACACAGAGAGCGCCGTCACAGCCGAGCCGAACCAGATCAGACGTTCTGAAGTAAACACTTTCTTTAAAAAGGCGATCAAACACAACCTGGACTCACAAAGCCGGTAAAAAGAAGAATGAGATAAAAGGAAGCGGCCTGAGTCACGTCAGACCGAGTTTTCTATCCCACTCACGTGGATGAGGTTCTCGTAGGTGCCGCAGACGATGTGGTGGTTGGTGACGGCGATGGAGTAGACGCTGCCGCCGCTGGTCTGCAGGACGTGGACGCACTCCAGAGAGCGGATGTCCCAAATCTGACAGAGAAAAAGAAAAAAAAAAAGTCAGTGAGGAGAAAACTGCCGTGAATACGCCCCATTTTTCAGCAGGGGAAGGGTTACAGATGGAAGCTGTGTCTCTATGGCAACCCAAGGGGAAGCAATCAACTCATCCACCGAGCCGATCAATGCAGAGAGGTGACCACAGGCCACACAACCAAGACACTGATGCTACTTCAGATTATATCCATCTTTTTGTCTCAAAGAAGTCGCCGGCATTCATGTAAATTACTATCAGCCACAATCGATGACGAGTATTAAAGAATTAAAATATTTCTGATTCTGATACAGGAAAGCTACTCTGTTCTTAATGGACTGCCTGAAAAGCTGAAATAATTACTCGTCCATCGACTCAAAAGTCTGGAAGGTGGCTAAAGCACAAGCCCAGACCATCAGCCCTCCATCACCGTGCATGACAGTGGTTTCAGTCTTTTTCTTCCTGTACTGTCATGGAAGTTAGCATTTAACCTGCTAACTGAGGCCCGTGGAGTCTGAGATGGAGCTACTGAGTTTTTTCCCCCTTTTTTTTAAAACTACAGAGTGGACCTTCTGGGACATCCCCCCGTTCTGCAGCACAGAGAAAACAGATTGCCAAAAGGTGAGAAACGTCACCGTGTTTAACCTGCAGACGCATTTTTAGCACGAGGTGGCAGCAGTGTACAAAAAAAAAGCCTCCGACCTCTGACACAAAGGTAACCACTTCATACACAGCTGTAATTAAAAAAATTAATGATTTGGGAGTAAAAACTGTAAACACTCCACAAAAAAGATGATCCAAATGTCAGAACCCAGGTCTTAAAGGGCCCATTTAAGTCTAAAAGTGTACAAACCCTTAGTTTATAGGCCAGATGTAATCATCCACTTTCTATCGTTCACATTACAGTGATTTGAATATTTTTTTTAAATAAAATCCTAGCTTTAATTAATACAACATTTTAGCATGTAGCTTCTAAGACTACAATGGGATGCACATCCATTATCTCTCTCCTTTGGAATCCACAGCCTGTTTGTTTGGGTGGAACAAAGGGACCCTCTCTGCTTTTAAAATGAGGCCTCATCTTTTCATAGTCGAGTCAGTATGAGTATTATTTTTTTTAAATACATTTTTTAAACTCATTTTCCGTTTACATTGCTGTCGTTTTAATTTGGACTTCCTACATTTTTTTGCCCTTTCTGTTCTTTCCATTTGGGGTTTGAAATAGCAAATCCATTACTGCAGTCTGCATTTGCTCTTCAAATTGGGCTTGAAAATCAATTTAACCCAAGATAAATTGAATAATTTTTTTTTTTTTTTTAAATCTCACGTTGGTCACTGAACACAGATGCTGTCAGTTTTTTTGGGTATCCTGGAAAATTGGATTTTACTTGAATATACCCTCAAAAGCTTTGAAACTGCCAATATTCTCTAAAGCAGGGGTCACCAACCTTTTTGAATCGGAGGGCTACTTCATGGGTACTGAGTCACACGAAGGGCTACCAGTTTGATACACTCTTCTGAAATAATACATTTGCTCAATATGCTTTTAGCTATACTTTATTAATAATCATTAATGATACTCATCTGTGACAACAAAATGGGAAACATATCAATATACACCACTTTATCTCTATTTATCTCAGCAACTGTTAGGTTTTCAGATGATCACTTACTGTACATCACTACATTTACATAGGAGTTTTCAATTTCACTAATTTTCACTATCCATCCATCCATCCATCCATCCATCCATTATCTTCCGCTTATCCGAATCATTTTCACTAGCCACTGACAAAACCTTTTAACAAATCATGAACTATGTTGCACCATGTTTCAAAAAGTTATCAATTATCTAATATTAAAGAAAAATCAACTCACATATTAAAAAGAAATCTGAAATCTCATGACCAAATCTTTAACAGATTGGCATTGCATGCTGTTCACCAGTTCATTGTAATCTGGTGTGTAACTTGACACTGCAACTGTGAGTGAGTGCATATTTCAGATGTGCTTTTTCTGCCCGTACTGCGCTTCCCGGTGGCTAGTTAGCATGCTAGCTTTTGTGGCACGAAGTGAAGTGTCTCTCCACATTGTGCCGCTTTGCCGTCGCCACAGTTGCCCCGCAAATCAGACACATGCAGGTTTCTTTTACAGTCGTAAAAAAGAACTCCTCCTCCCATTCACTGTGAAAGTGATAAGTTTTCTTTCGTTTTTCTCCCATGTTTTTGGGGTAAGAAACTGCTCCCATCTCGGCTGCGCCCGCTAGCTTACTCTCCACTGACACTGGTTTTGTTTTGTCACGTGCACAATACTGACCTTTGAACTAGGGAAAACTTAAACTTAATATATAATGAACATATTTTTAAGATATTGTCATTTTAAATCAAATCTATATGAATGCAAGTGTGATTAAAAAAGATTAGCAACGGAACAAAATTAAATTTTAGAAGTTGCTCACTATTGAGTTGTGCTATTTTTAGAACAGGCCTGCGGGCGCCTCGGGTGGTCCGTGCGGGCAACCTGGTGCCCGCGGGCACCGTGTTGGTGACCCCTGCTCTAAAGGACTTCTGCATTTAAGTATTGTCTTGAGACCAACTTCTCCATGAGAACCAGAGCCATCTACTTTATCTGCGCCTTCATCTCTCCTTCCTCATTCTTCCACAGACGTCCGATTCCCAGACGGGTCCTTCTCTTAGCTCTGTCCCTCTCTTGATCCCTGCTCAGTGTCCCCGAGGTAGTCATTAGTGACCGACTGCAGCCAAGCAGCTCACACACACACACACAGAGGCACACACACACAGAGGCACACACAGAGGCAGGAGGACGGGCACCAGCAGAGAAACGGAGTCTGATCAATCCCAGCAGCTTCAACAGTTTGACAGGCGCTAAAGAAAACACTGCAACTGTGTGGCGTTTTTCCAAAAAGCTTTGGAATCTCTGTGTTTAGAAGCTGGCATTCAGAATATTTTTTACCTTTCCCCCTTAGGCACTCAGATCTTTCACTGGAACATAGACCTGAATGTGTTTGCGCCTCCATTCTGCTGTTTCCACACGCTTTGTTTAACTTTTACTTTTAATAAAACAAGCTGAAAGAAAGTTAAATTTCACTAAGTCTCTGCATAGCCTTAATTATATCGACAATTTTTTATGAAATCTGCTCTGAAACCTGTTTTCTTATGATTAAATCTTTGTCTAACATACAACCATACTATTGCTGATTATATATACACATTTGTTTAAGCCAGTTTGCTCAAACATATGTGGAAAAAGTCCCGTCCTATAAAGTCCTACATCTTTGCTAGTTTCTCTTTGCATCATAATTCGACCCACAAGCTCATAACAAGGGGGCTTTGAAGATGAATGCCTGCTGTAGCCTCGAGCCATTCAGAAGCCAGCTGCATTGGATGGTTTTAACAATCTAAATTATTAACTTCGCCTTGTGGAAAATAAATAAATACATTCTTAAATGATCTGTTTTTACTTTGGTTCCACAGCAGGGCAAAGCTAAAGGACCAGCAACGGCTACCAGCTAGCTTAGCTCAGACATGCTCCATCGCAGGGCGATGCTGGAAAGTGTTTCTTCTTTCAAGAACAACAATTTACTTGACATTCATGGTAGCTCCAGATGAGGGGTTTGCCTTTAGCTCGCCTCGTCTAGTTGAACAATAGTTTCTGTAAATGTAATTATCTCAAAAAGGATTATCCTTAGCGGGAAAAAATCTGAGCTAAAGGGGGAAAAAAAAGAAGAAAAAAAGAATCCCCTGACACTTCCATTAGTACTTTAAGAGCAACGCTATTGTTGACAACCACTGAGCGTTTAAACCTTAAGAGCTTCTGCCTTGTTATGGAAGCTAAATTACAGCTGGGAAAAGGGAAAACGAGCTTAGGGGGGAGAAATAGAGCGTAAGCTGTATTCAAAATCTGATCTAATGGGTCCTTCCTGCTACAGTATGTACAACATATTCTGACAGAAAAATGGACTTATATCATAGTGATAGGGCAATATTAACACTCACAACAATAGGACATGTCCAATCACAAACTGGATTAAATTGAATGTTTGTAATAAACTGCACTTTAATACCGCAACTGCTAAAAAGTTGTGCACATGGTTTTTGATATTAGAAAGATAAGGCCAATTATAGATTTATGGAATGACATTAGGTGGACATTACAGAGAGGAAAGCTCGTTTTTGGTCCAAAAAAGGTAAAAAAGTTAATTAATAATGCAGAAGTGTACAAGGTGCTACATCTTCACCCCCTTTTTTTTCCATGTTGCTGTGACTGCTGATCCACGTGTCCACTTACCTTGATGGTCTGGTATGAGCCACTGTAAAGGTGGTTCTGGGAGGCCACAAGTGCCCTGACCCAGTGGTTCAGACCGGTCAGCTCCTTCTTCAGCTTCAGCTCTGTGCCCACAATGTCCCACACCTACAAAAAACAAAAACAAAATATGGCACAGTTTAAACTCAAACCACCTCAAACTCAATACTTCTATTAAAAAAAGAAAGAAGTATTTGAACAGCTTTGTTTTCTTTCTGTTGCTCCACACAGAGCAGAGCATGAGGTCAGTGAACAGACGCACAGAGGCTGTGCAACAGTGGAAAGTCCCTGTGTGAGAAACTACACTTTCAAACACACAGCAAGGAAATTATCCTCTTCCCCTCTCTTGTAACCATGGTAACCAGGGCAAGAATACATTACATCATTCCTCTGCGTTGTTCTTCCTCTCCGCCTGAAAACTGAATATTTTTGCCCTGTCTTTGAATCTTTTGGGTCGGGACTCCTTTTGCGGGCTGCTTGTGAACCACTTCCTGATAAAGCTGATAAGAGGCCGGCTGAAACTGGATTGGTGGAGTGATGTAAAAACCCTTTTTTAAGGGAGTCAAACAGATGTTCCTACTGCAATGTGACCGTGAGCTGTGAGAGTCGTGTTGTTGTAACCTCTGTCGCAAAGTGGGCGGAAGTTCTGAGGTATTAAATCTGTTTTCGGATCCATTTCAAAACTCATAACTGATTGGTGGTGAAAGGACACTTTTGACTTTTCTGTAGATACTTGCGAAAAAAGGAAGGTCCTTCAAGAATACAGAACTTATAAAAAATCCCACTGCCAGCGTAGGTAACCATGACAACTGGAAAATAAATAAATAAATAAATCCACTCACTGTCCATTTTATGAGCTACACCTTTAGATTGCCTTTTAACACAAAGCAGCACCTAACCGGTGGCTAACTGGGAGCTGTTAGCGGCTAACTGGGAGCAGATAGCCACTATGAAGAAGACTTATTGAATACAGGGCATTAGAGCAAAACCCTAACCCACCATATCAGAGTTCAAATCATCTCAAAGTGATGTGTTTAGCATGACAACAAGCTCTCTGTGCTCCATTAAACTCCACATCACAAGAGCTCAATCCAACAGAGCACCTGTGGGACGGAAGAAAAAAAGGAAGAAAAAAGGAAGAAAAAATTTTGTGTCATGTGACTAGGCAGCAAAATCTTTGAGGACTATTTCTAACAATGTTGCTAAATCTATCCCGCTGAATATTAAGGCAGTTCTGAAGGAAAATAGGGCTCCAACCAGGTGCCAGCAAGATTTATGGGCACAATAAAACAATAAAGTGGCTGGGTAGTGCAAATATAGAGAGAATCCACTAAAAAGTTTCTCTACAAAGTTTACCAATGCTTTTAAGTTCTAGTAGCAAGTTGGGACATCTTGATCTTAATCAATTTGTAAGTCTTTTCTCGCTGCAATCTGAATCAGTGAAAATGTTTTACTATGTAATTAAATTGTCTCATGAGTCCCTGACTGTAACACACTAAAACTTTGAAAAACTTATATAAAATAAATCATACTGCTTCAGGCACTGAAAAATATATCAAATACAACTGAACTGACGCAGGGAGCTTAGACACAACGAGCCGGGATGCTCGCTCAGTACCTTTATGGCCTTGAGGGAGCCACTGAACAACATGTTGTGGGAGGAGACCAGCGTGCACACGGGGTTGTCATGGGCACGGATGGTATTGACTTTCTGCAGGGTCTGGATGTCCCACACCTACGCAACACAAAGACAAGACGCACGGCTTCCTGAAGTGGCTGAAAACAATTCGGCTTCAAACACTTGCAATAAGGAGGTGACTGCGTCTTACAATGATGGTGCAGTCTGCAGAGCCGCTGTATAGCCGGTTTCTATGGAGACAAACGCAGGACACGTCATGCTTTGGGGGAAGGGGGGTTATTCCCAGCTGGCGGATTTCATATCAACGGTGCGTGTGTTGATGTGAGTGCGTTCTCTTACCCCTGGATACACAGAGCCAGGACAATGCCGTCATGACCCTCCAGAGTTTTCTGACACTTGTAGGTGGTGCAAGTGTCCCAGACCTGAGGACGAAAGAAAAAAACACACACGTTCTTTATGAGATGGAACTTGACATGACTTTGTCTGCAATTCTGTGTGTGAGTGTCTGTAGCTTCAAGTCTTCGTGTTTTCTCACATAAAACAAGGCTGTGGGTGGAAGTTGTGAGAATCTTTTCATAAGTGGGCGACTAAGGAGTGCGTTCAGAGCACAGGGGGGAAAAAATAAGAAAAGAAAATAAACTTTCTAATTCTTTCCTTTTTTTAGAAAAAACCTTGGAAGTGCTTGCTGCTACCTTAATGGTCTTATCAGAAGAACCGGAGAAGAGCAGGTCTCCAGTGGAGTAGACGCAGAGACACCAGACGGGACCCTGGTGGCCCACAAACGTCCCCTTACACTTGAAGATCTGCTGTGGGTCATAAGCTGCAGACAGGCAGAGACAGGAGAGGCTTCACTTTAAAAGAGTGGGGAAGAAGTTGGTGTTGGGAGGTGAGGCAGCGTGAGCGAGAAGGAATACGTCAGGCAGAGGGGACTTCAGAGGAACTGAGAGCAGAAACTTACAGCCCAGGATTCCCATGTTGAGCCTGGCATTGATGTGGGACAACTCATCCTGTACAGATACATTGAAGAAGCAGTTAAGAAGAAGGTGGTGATAAAAGCTTATACCTTGGCCTAGTTGAGAAAAAAATACATTTGCAAACTTTGTCCATTTAAACCTTTTCTATTAAAAAAAAAAGGTCCTTGTACGAAAATGCCTCAGAAGTCCGTGAGAACACACTCACATTAAGCATGGAGGCGTCTCTGCGGAACTCCATCAGGTCTTCGCTGAGTTTGCTCTGGTTTTCATCCAACATGTCTGAAATGCACACAAAATCGCAAGTTCGGATGAGATGAAGAGGAGACATCTAAGCAGAAGGAGAAGAAAGCTTCCCCTTATCATCGGCAAATCCACGGCAGATAAAACAAACAAACTTGAACCTCTGATGAGGACACGGCAGGAATATGTTGATCCCAAATGACAAAAACAAAAACCCAACCAGCTGATGGCCCTTCATAACAACCCCTAACAATAATAATACAAGGGTTTGATAATGTCCAGATTTGAATTGATTAACATTCAAATGGCTAAATGCTAAAAGTAGAATGCGATACTTTAAAAGAATGCTCTGCTCTTACCAAATTTCAGTTCCAGGTTTTTCTCCAGCTGATCCAACTTCTCGGAGAGCTTGCCCAACATGGAGCGCAGGAAAGCGATGTCTTGGTCCTTCTGGGCCAGAGTGAGCTGCATCTCGTGGAACCTGAACGCAGCCAGGGGCCGTTTATGGATAAATCTAGCGGAAGTCATTCACTTTGAGTTCTTGTGGGCTATATAGCTCACCTGTCATCTGTCTGCTGCAGAAACTCCTTAAGGCCCTCAAATTTACACACCTCTAGGTGTGTTTCATATGTATCTTGGTTTCCTATGAATGTACAGCTGTTGGGAAGAAGAGGTGTGCTTAGCTGGTTAACAACTTGCTGTCATGCCAGTGAAGCAAAAAAAACTTTTTAAATTGGTGATAAAAGATATTAATTCAACACGATTTTAAACCAGTAACAGAAAAACTTGGCTAACTCTCTGTACACATTCCTATCTCACCACCATTTAAATAAAACCTTACCCATATTTGGAGTGTGGACATTTGATGTGCTCGCATTCTTTGAGGTGAGCCTCCAGGTTCATGGTGAGTAATGGGGGGCAGGAGGGGTTGTTGGGACACCGCACAGGCCTGTAGTCACAGCTGGCCTCGTGTTCTCTGCAGGGAAGCAGAGAAAAAAATTGAATTAAACCGTCTTCCAGCATCAGACTTCGCGTTTTGGCACACATCCTTTCACATCTTGGCCCCGTACTTGCGCGTGGTCAGCTTGATGGTGAACGGGCAGCCCAGCGGGTCCACCTCGTAGGCTCCAGGTTTCCCGGCCACGGTGGAGGGGGAGGCGGCCGCCCCGCCCGCGGCGCCGGCGGCGGTGGCCCTGCAGCCGTATTTGCAGTGGATGAAGAGCTCTCCGATCTGCTCGGCCACCGCGATGTTGTTCACGACGACCGTTAGCTTGGCGGCATCCACGGGGCACTTGTCTGCCAGGAGAATGAATGTTATACGGTCAGAAAAATACAAAACAAGTCAGGTCACAAGCTCTGAATTCTGGAGGACCATTAGCATTGAAAATTAGCATTGCTCTGACTCACCTGAAGTCAAGGCACAGCGTCTGCAGAAGGTGTGCTGCGGGGGAGGAAATATGGAAAAAATGTAATAATTTTCAAGTGTTAAACATTGGAAAGTTTTCACTTTTCACAAATTGTTTTTTTTTTTAAAGACAACAGCAAGCATTTTCCTTGCTGTTGTCTGGTTGTATGGCAGGTACTACGCATTATGGGTGCCCAGAGTAAATCTGGACTCATGTAACCTCATAAACCTTCTGTCTGATATTGAGCTTTTTTTCAGATTAGCTTCACTGATTCATGTTTTCCTTTTCAATTCATAGCTGTTGATCCCAATCTTTTGAATTCTCCACACTGAGCCCTAACTTCTACTGTTTTTCTTTAAATAATTTGATCTGGCCACAGTTCTTCCTTGGAGAGAATGGTTCCCCATTTTCCTTCTGGTGTTGAACAGTTCGTAAGCCAATTTCAGTGGTTTCTGCATTCTCTTTAGGATTTTTCATTTCCTTGATGCCAATACTTTGTCCCTACTGACCCAGATTAACATCTTTTCCATGACCGCAGGATGTGCTTTCTGACATGGTTGACATGAAAACCTGCTCACTGCTAGATTAGAGCCTAATAACTTGTTGCCAGTTGAAACAAAATAATCCAAAAAGTTATTAGCCAAATGGGAGGCTCTCCCTTATTTCTATTTAGCACTTAGGTAACAGTTTTCAAATAACTCCCCTGCTGGATCTATCTTGACATATCTGACATGTAGATTAGGGCAAAGTCTGCCTCATCATTATTAAGAAAATCACTCAGAATATATCTTTGGGAACAACAGACAGCTCAGATTTACACCACACAGTTAACTTCCCATCAGAAGGTGTCATTCTAATGTCACCAGTGTGTTGGGGGAAATGGGAATTCTCTAAAGCCGACTGAGTGCTACTTCCTGTTATGAAAGACTACGTATATGCTAAATATGAGTAGGGATGACTTAAAAATGACTTAAAAAATAGCTTCCTGTCTTCAAAATTGACATTAAAAAACGTTTGTCTTCTTCTAAAATCTTTTACAACTTGCTAGACAGAGCATGAAATACAAGCAAGAGTGGGAGGAACGAAAAAGAGGAGTGGGTGGAGTAAACTCACCCCACATGTGGTGATGACGGGGTCCTTGAAGACGTTGCAGCACAGCTGGCAGCACAGTTTTACCGAGGGCTGCTCGGCAAACACCTGCGGCTCCTGCTCACACACACACACACACACACTCATCTGTTCATTGGGCCGCTTTGCGTGTGTGTGAAACACTACTTGCAGCGTAAGCGTGTGTAATCGTGTCTGCTTCCATCTGCTGTCATACCGTGTCCTCCTCCTCCTCATGCAGGGAAAAGGTGGAGCGCAAAGACATGTTGGACTCGGAGTGAAGAGAACGGACTGAAATGGCGGAATCGGACCTCCGCGGAGTGCCGATAGGAGGCTGAAAAGATGGAGAAGCAATGTTGTAAAGATAAACAAAAAACACATAACTGGTGTTTTTCTTGATTTTTACCCTGATATACAATGAGTTTGAGCAGAATGTATTGCTTCTGTTCTTAATCAGCCTGTGCTGAAAAAAAAAAGAAAAGAAAAACTAAGGAAGGAGTGAGTGTTTACCATTCCATCATCGTCATCTCGAGGGGAGTATGTTAGAGTGCTTGATGAGGAGGGAGTTCTCCTATGCTGTTTGTAGGTGCTGGATCCTTCAGCTGTAAACACACACAAAGCCACGGCTCAGAGGAGATAAAGGAAGAGCGGGTGGCGTGGCTCAGAGAGCGTACAAGAGACAACTGCGCTACCTTTGGTCCCAGAAGCCACCGCGGCAAAGGTGGGGCCGAATGACGCCTCCATCCTGCTCTGTGGTGAACAAAAGGGGTAATGCAAACGAAAAAAACAACAAAAAACTTTTAAGTAAAAAGGCATTGTTAGATTTTTAAATAAATTGCATAATACATTGTGTAATAGATATAAACTGGATGTTGTAGGGAAAAAAGTGCAGTCTGTGTCTCACCCCGCTGCCAGATTCTGCTGGAGGGGTGGAGGGGCTGCTGGGGATGGACGATGTGCTGGAGGCTCCCCCGGAGTATCGGTTGTAGCGAGGTGTTTTACTGCTGCTCATAACCCAGATCACACGCACGTACGCACGAGGAAGCACTAGCTGCTAGCTGTGCTGCTAGGCCTGGGGAAAGTTGAGAGCACAGAGGGGATGATCAGCTGATTAAATGGATACTTTTATTTTAGCTACATAAATAATGCCAAGGTCCATAATCTACAGAATTTAAGTACACGTGGGCTTATAGTCCAGAACTGCCAGAGAGAGCTGTTTCACTTGTAAAGGCTGTATTCTCCTTTCATTTGTTTTCAAACCAAGCCTTAGCTTCCTCATTTCTATTAATGGCACACTGCTGACCACACTTATGCATGTACAGTTTTCTGATGTTGGAATAAAAGTCTTATTTCCGGTCCATCTTCACACATGGAATTGTTAGTACCTTTCGGTTAATGAAAGAAAAACCCACGATGGTCACAGAAATGACTTGAATCCAACAAAAGTGATAAGAAATTTAAAATTCTCTGAAAATTAACAAATGAAAGTCAGACATTACTTTTCAACCATGCTTCTCCAGAATAATTTGTAAAAAATAAACTCGTTCAAACAGGCCTGGGAAAAAAAAAATGCTACTTCTAGAAAAGACAAAAAATAATGTGACCAAATCGACATATTAAATCACTTATAAGCATCACGGTTGTCTGCAAGCTTGTAATCTGTCAGTGGGCCTTTATATTAAGGCTACAGGTGGTCACTTTGCTGTTTTGTGACACAGTGTGTACCACACTAAACATGGGCCAGAGGAAGCAAAGGAGAGAGCTGTCTCAGGAGATTAGACAGAAAATCATAGACAAGCATGTTAAAGGGAAAGGCTTTAAGACCGTCTCCAAGCAGCTTGATGTTCCTTTGACTACAGTTGCACATATTATTCAGAAATTTAAGATCCACGGGACTGTAGCCAACCTCCCTGGATGTGGCCGCAGGAGGAAAATTGATGAAAAATCAAAGAGACGGGTGAGACGAACTGTAACAAAAGAGCCCAGAAAAACTTCTGAAGAGATTAAAGGTGAATTTCAAGCTCAGGGAACATCAGTTTCGGATTGCACCATCCATTATTGTTTGAGCCAAAGTGGACTTAATGGCACACGACCAAGGAGGACACCATTGCTGAAAACAAATCATAAAAAAGCCGGACTGGAATTTGCCAAACTACATGTTGACACGCCACAAAGCTTTGGAAAGAGGAGACAAAAATGTAACTTTTTGCTCAGGCTCATCAGTTCTATGTTCACAGACACTGTCCCTACTGTGAAACATGGAGGAGGCTTCGTTATGTTCTGGGGGTGCTTTTGCTTCATCTGGCACGTGGTGTCTTGTATCTCTGCAGGGTACAATTAAATCTGAAGACTATCAAGGGATTCTAGAAAGAAATGTGCCACCCAGTCTCAGGTCTAAAAACAGGATCATGAACCAAAACACACAGCTAAAAACACCTAAGAATGCTAGAAGAAAACATTGGGCACCTTTCAAACCCGAGACAACTGGAGCATTTTGCTTGTGAGGAGTGGGCAAAAATAGTTGCTGAGAGGTGCAGAATTGTCATTGACAGTTACAGGAAGTGTTTGATTGCAGCGAGGCAACAAAATATTAACTTAAGGGTAACATCATTTTTTGTCCAGGCCTGTTCATGAGTTTGTTTGTTTTTTAATTGGGTTGAAGCATGGTTGAAAAGCAATATCTGACTTTCATTTGTTCATTTTCATAACATTTTATTTCTTATGACTTTTGTTATATTTGTGTGTTTTTCTTTCATTAGACAAAGGGTAACAACAATTTAGTCCACTTGTATATGTGATATCTTTTATTTGCTCACAGACACAACTATGTAAACAAATAATTTAACTTCGTGACAGTCTTCTTGTAATGAAGTTTGTAAAGATACGTCGCGTAGACGTCATTGGCTTAGAACAGTTGAAGGATTGATGGGTCAGTGTTAGTGGGTTTAACAAAAGCCCCTTTCACACAGGTTAAATCACATAAGCAAAGAAAAAAATAACAGGTCTGTGTAACCCGTACATAGCAGACAGGAGCCTCAGCCCCGTATCGCCATGTGATTGCGCACTCTGAATCACAATAGAGAGCATCTAAGCACCAGATTTGTATGCATGACAATTAATTCTATTGTGATCAGCTTTAAATCTACTATTTTTAAGTGACTTAAGATTATATTTGTTGTGATTCTGCCATTTATGAATAAAACTACACGAAAGAGCTTAAGCAAACTAACAGAAAAAATATTTTTACTGAAAATGGTCAAAGACTGTACTCAACAAAAGTGAAAAAATGGCCCATGTCCAAAAAACCCTGCTGAAAGCCTGTAGAACTATTGCCCAGGAACGCTTTAAAACACGACAAGAACTTTTTCAAAACATATAGAAATATAGAAATGAGGGGTCTATAAAGACCTTTCCACCAACTGTATAAAACAACAATAATTAACCTCAAGCCTTTAAATGCATCCACAGAAAAGTGTGAATATTTTAGTATTGAAATATTGCATACCTAAAATTTCTGATCTTATTTAACACATCTATAATCTCTCTTCCAAATCGTATTGATTAAAGGACCTGAACATGTTTGAGGCTTGTCGGTACGGATCTGTTTTAGTTTTTTAAAAAGCCAATTAAACCATACTATATTTTCAATACTATATTTTCAACACTATCAATTGGTCTTGATTACACTGACAAAATGGAGTCAGACATTAGTAATAGAGCAAAACTTTGACTATAGATAGCAAACCCTTGCTGTTATGCTGATCTTTGGTCAAGACTTCTTGCTTTATTCAGCAGCAATTGCTCAGGTCTACGAATATCACAATCAGTAAATATCTATGATGTGCGATATCTTCTCTTTAATTCATGTACATTTGACAAAGAATATGTTGAAAAATAACCACAAAAAAAGTCTGGTGATTTCCAATCTTAACAACGGCACAGAATTCTGGATGAAAACGGGAAAAAAATAAATGAAAGCCATATGCTAAAAGGGAAAAGAGGGTGGAAAAAACCCACAAATTCTGAAACTTGGCTCAAGAAATGTCAGCAGCTGCCAGCAACAACAGTACAGCGTACGAGCAGATGACAGTGGTATGCAGAGAGAGAGAGATAGAGAGAAATATGTCACCGGGCTCCAACGACAGTAAGAATAACAGATCTTGAGGAAGCAAGTGACCCACTTTACTGACCTCAGGCCAGACAACACAATTAAACCAGACCGTTTCATTTCAATCGGTACGGGAAGGCGGAGGCTTGTGCAGAAGTGGATTTTTTTGGCCGAGTTAAACCGGATTGCTTTGTACAGGTGTTGTAGAAAAAGACTCCAAGAACACATTCAACAATAACAGGAAGGTCAAAGTCCAGCGTGTGTGGTGTTCACAGATAAACTTCTCCACCAGAAAAAAGCTTGACAATTACAATATTTCCATATGTTAGGTGTAACTCTTTCCTTTTTCTCTTGTTCTTCCCGTCATTTCCTTCTTTCTTTTTTCTTTTTACTTGCATACATAAAAAACAGATCTCATAGCCCAAAACTGATGCTGATCTCCATCAACACTGGAACTTATTTGACCTTATGCCCTGTCCAGACACAAGAGATTGCTTAGTTTAGTGACATATGGTGCCTGTCATGTTTGTAATCGATATTTGGCGTTGAAATGAGCATTTTCCTCCCTTACAGCTGTGAGAAAAACAGGGGGGAGAAGAGACATAGATGTGTGCCCAAGTCTTATCATTGTATAATTGCGACCAGGCGCTGACTTTGCAAATTCTAAAACACGGGGGTCGAGGGGCAGAGAGGCACAGGCACAAAGGAAAGAGGGAGAAGTGACAGCCAAAAATCCTGATCTATACAGAAAGCTATGCGGGGCTGTCAGCCCATACGGTTATTGACTGCAGGTTCCGTCCATGAAGCTGTCCAGGAATTCTGTTCTGCTCCCACCAGCTTCTTTGTCTGTGTCCACTAGGCTAGAGATTCCCGTAAAGATCCCCCCCCCCCCTTCCTTTCCCCAATACATATGCACAGACAGACAGAAAAAAAAGGGGGCGGAACACACACGCAGCGACACACAACCAAAGTTCTCTCGTTAAATCTTCAACCGGAATTCACTTCCAAAGTCACAAGCATGCAACTTTACTAACAGTCAATTATACCAAAGAACAGCTAAAAGCGTTTGTTATTGACTGACATGTTGTGACATAAACGCCAGAACGCAAAGATAATTGGAAAGCTAAGTGTAGTTGCTAGCTTAAGTTAGCTAATTTTCAATTCTTCTGAACAATCACTGCTACTGACAGCAGTCGGCAAATCCTGGTAGCCACCACGACAGAACTCGAGTTGTTTCGCAAACAGTAACACAAATATTCAAAAAAGTCGTCGGGAAATGGATGAGAAACTTGCCATTATTATTTTTTTTCCACCAGCGGTCCTCCAAGTCTGTAGACGAATTCCGAAATCTTCCCATTTGCCTCACATACACAGCTATAATGTCGCGGTGTGTTCTGGGAGATGTAGTCTGATGCGCAACATCTTTGCCTTCCAAGTGTCTCTGCATATCCTGTCGGACTCTGCTACCCAAAAGTCACCGCGCGGAGCTGTCATTTGACTCGAGTCCGCCAGTAAATTCCGCAGACCAACTGCAAAGCGCAGCATTCCCAAATATATCCATTTTCTCACCGGTACCGCATCGTTATTGGCTCCCGCGGACACCGAACCATCACGCGACAGCCTTCATCACATTTAGCGGCGAACACACGCGCGTGCTGCTTAACCCAGTAGATGACCAGCGTAATTAGAAGCGTTGGCATTTTAGTGGTGAAGCCACGATGAAACTGTATTGTAAAATAAAAAAACCTATGTCATCCCCCAGTAAGTGATAAGTTTTAAAATGAGTGTGAGATCGATAGGGGATGCAGGCATCAAGATTTCAGGGATGTCTATGTCCTCCATTGTATGTTGAATTGGTCTATTCTATTTAAATTTCAACGCAGCATGCTTCTACCTTTAGACCACGTGGACATTTTAGTAATATATTAAACAAAAAATAACTCATGTGCTTTTGTAACATGCTGCAACCCTGCTCATTTTTTAAATTCGATTTGTAAGTCAAACACTTTACTCAGCAAGCTAAATATGATTAACTTTATGTGTATCACACTGTGTTATAGTTGGTGTTCTGTTTAGAAAATATGTGTTCAATGTTTAATTACAATTTTCAAAACAAAAAAAACCTTGCAATCTGGAAAATATTATTAGGAATATTATAAATTGTGGACTAGTACAAGACTTTTGATTTTGATTTTCATGGTCATCCTACAGAGAAAGAGAGATAATATCCAGAGAGTGGCAGTTGTGTGGACGAAGGTGCCTTGTTAGTGTGAGAGGTTAGAGGAGAATGCGTGGACTGATTTGAAACAATAGACAGGGAAATGTAACTCAAATAAACACTTGTCCCAACCAAACAATGCAGAATGCCACCTCTGAACACACAACACGTCCAACCTCGAAGAATATGGGCTGCAGCAACCATTCCTGTCAACCAAGAACAGAAAACTAAGACAACAATTCACTCAGGCTCTCCGAAATTGGACAAGATGATCAGAAAATTGGAAAAAAGGTTGCCTGGTCTGACAGGCCTGGATTTCAGCTGCAACATCCAGATGGTGGGGTCAGAGTTTGGTGTAAACAACATGAAAACATGGATCCATCCTGTTTTGTGTCAGTGGTTTAATGTGTTAGTTTAATGGTGTGGGGGATATTTTCTTGCCAGAGTGGAGCCTTGTTTAAACGCAGCAGCCAAGCTGAACATTGATGTTAACCAGGTCCATCTTTTTATGACCCATCTTAAGATGGCGACTGTTAGCAGGATAATTCACCATGTCACAAGGCCTATACTATCAAACTGTATTTGTTTGAACATGACAGTGAACTTACTGTCTCCCAACCTTTAGTGGCGAGGTGTATCTAATAGAGTGGCCAGTGAGTGTTGATTTTTTCATATTTTTCTTCATTTTGTGCCTCTCTTTTTGCTAACCTGTTATCTCCACAAGATGGCGCTATTGTTGTGTAGACCACAAGTGGCAAAACTACCTCTAATTTGTTTTGACATAAAAACAACACATTAACACATCTATTGATAATGTGGAAAAAGTTTCTCCTGAGGGCATTTTGAATGTTCACAGAATATCTATGTCTAAGGTATGCCATTTTGAAAGTACATCTTCTCAGACATCTGAAATGTTGAAAAGTAGCTACAGTGAAATGGAGAGAAGAGTGAAAATAGACAAATAAAGTGCTTATAAGAGTGTTATTAAGGTTAGTCATCTGACAGTGAATGCTTTGCTGAATTGTCCTCATTATGCAAAAAAATCTTGGACCATAGAACATTCTTACAATGGTAAAAATGCATGAAAATGTAGCTATGTAAGGAAAAAAGGGTTGTCTGTAGAAGCAAAACACATTGAATTCTGTAGTCAGAAACAGGGTACAAGTGAAAAGATGCCCACAAGTACAGCTCAGAGTGAGCTGTGCATAGAAAAAGAAAAAGAAAAAGAAAGACCAGGCTTGAATGCAACCATTAATAAAAGATGTTTTGAATGCAGCTTTGTTGATGCGTGCACACATTTACGCGCACACAAACACACATGCAGACACGGACCACAGCTCGGCGTTCCATTAGAGGAAGCCCACGCCATTAGCGGCCTTATTGCCTTTGTGAGGGACAGCGCTGACAAGATTTCCCCTCTGCCTCCCCTCCAGCGTGTGCTCACAAACACACACAAACATTTGGCGACGGCACACACACCAACCCTCTCTGTCTGTCTGATGCAGATGTTTCGGATGTGTTGCTGGACTGTGTTTTCCCTGTCATCAGAATGGCGGGACAGGCTCTCAGACCTGCAGAGAGAGGCACTTCAATAGGGTCTTTTATGCTGATAAGATGTCCTGAACAGCTGACGGAGTGCTTTAAATATCCTCAAAAGCCTTCACGTGCATCCCGGAACATTGCTTTGTGTGACGGTGGCGCAGTGTTCGTTGACAAAGCTTTCGTCTCCTTCCGTGCAGATAAGCACATTTGCGACAGCTGGCAGTGTACACAATGCTCAGCCTTCCAGCTCTCAATACATAAAGCGTGCTTTGAATGTGACTCTAAATGGTTTCACTGAGGTTTTCACTGTTGCTCCGTGTCTTCTATCGACACGTGGTTGTCTCATTCCTTACATCCTGTTAGGTTTGGTGTGGGGAATATTTAGCAAGGTTTTCTATTGATTTAACAGTGATACTGAAGAACAAGACACATACGGATTTATGAAAATCTGATTTTAGGAGGGAGGTTACTTATGAGTGCTAAATTTGAAAAATACTTGTTATGTGAAAACCTTGGATATAGGCAGGCCATCTGTAACCTTAGAACAAACAACACTAGAATCCCTAAAGTCACTGGTCGTTATAAAGGTTGAAAGAGAAAGTTAAGATTATGTCAACTCTGTCCAGATAACTGTGTTGGAGATGAGTTTCATGTTTTGTTTGGGTGTAAAGATGTAGAAATATGCCATTACATACAGTAGAGAAGTGTTTTCCACAATATTATGTGAAGAGCCCATCGATGTTTAAAATGGTTTCATTATTTCAATCTGGAAAAAAGAAAATCATTTGTAAGTTGGGTGCCTTTTTTTAAATGGGTCCTCCCATTATATCGATGATGTTATAGATTTAATGTATATGCGTTACTTTGTATATTTATTGTTTGTGCTCCAAACCATGTATATGGTCATTAAATATAATAAATTAATTGAATTGAATTGAATTGAAAAAAATAAACTTTCTATGTAATACCCCACCCATTACATTAGTTTGCTCATGTCATTCTGTGCTGATGTACAGTACATAGGACAAACCTAGTATAAGAACCATTCGTTCACAGATGTTTGTGTTTCTGTGGGTACTAAATGTGAAATCGAGAGAAAGATGGAAATGTTTGCTTTACTGGCCTGCATGGGATCCAGATCTGTTTCCCATTGAAGACGTGTCAAGCATCATGAATAGGTTAGTTACACTAAATTACCACAGACTTTTGCAAAGATTAAATCTTGAATCCAGCAAGAACGGACACACATTACCCAGAAAAAATGCACCAGGTAGTATCCTCGCTATCTAAAGAAATTCACGTTTAAATACAACTATTCAAAAAAAAAACAAGCCCATGGACATACTTTTTTTAAAGAGCTATTTTCTTATCATGTCAATTAAGACTTGGTCACTATTGTGGCAGACTTAAATGCACACATCCTGTATTATTCAGTTTATTCTCAATTAAAATTATTAATCGTGACTTTCTTAAATAAACCACTAAACTACATTAGTCTGATATTCAAGTCAACAAAGATAGATGCCCTATAAAGCTTTTTATACCCCCCACATGAATGTGGGGCTGTGGCAAACACGCAAAGAAAAAAAAAAACACAATATCCACAAAGCCAGCTGACCAACAAAACACAAACACCCCGACCCAGACATTCACACTTGACCTGGATAGAGACAAGAGGGTGGCAATTCACCCCACCGACTGGGCCCATTAGGGGCCAGAGTGCAGCTGAGCCACATGCTCCAGAGCCACAAAGAGACACACAGGATTACAGAAGCGAGCGCACAATGGAAACGGGCAGAGTGGCGGTGGGGCGGGGGGATAAGCAGAGTGGCATGGGGGGGGGAGCTTGTGAGATGGAGAGAGTGCAGAGAGGATGGGAAAAAATAGATTTAATCTATTTTCAAAGACTTCCATTTCGTTATGAGCATACAAATACCTGGCTATGCTGCAAAACTGTCATTTATTTAGTTTTCGATTTGAAAGCAATGGATTAACATACTGACAGCAGATATAACATCATATTTAATAATAGTTCTTTATGAGTAAGTCAGGATGAGATTTTTTTTAAGTGGATGAGATGAAGCCAGAAGAGTTTAAGGTTTTAATGGACAGGCTCAGAGGAGGAACGATGAGAAATACTTTGTGCTGAGAGGGAAAACTCCCTTTATGGGATGTGATGTGGAAGATTGGATATTTTTAGAGCCAGAACTAGAAACACATTTCTAGCAACCCTTTCTCTTGAAGGCATTCCCTGATCCAAATTCACTGTTTTCCACATAGTTTCTAATGTATTTTTCATATCTATCTCTTTTAGTCGGTTATTCATTTACCCCTTTAATGGAAAACAGAGGTTTGTGGAGTGAGCTTCAATTTGAGTTGAGCATCATGAATTAATGATCAGTGCTGAGTAAGACTCTGTCTCTAAGTGCTGTTGGTGCTCTCATCTGTCTGTGCTTTCCAGCTTTGGAGAGGCTCCACCTACGGGCACGCAAGCAGAAGCAATTCACCATTCAAAGACCAGGATTGGAAAATACATGGTTCAATCACATTATCAAAGTATAATGAAACAAAATCAGTTGGGAAGCCTGTCAAAAAGGACTAAACTTTATTTAACTTTTTATTTCAAAATACATCTTTCTGAACAGTTTGAGCCCTCCGAACACCAGAAGAATCACTGATGGAGAATGAGCACTAATCTATTGA